TGATCAACCGAGCTAGCTTACTTCACAAAAAGCTTCATCTAATGATAAGTTGCATTCTTGACAACATTTACAGATGAACTCAGAATCAAAGTTCAATCATTATTAAAGATGATAGACCTGTTTTTCTTGAAAATTATATCAAGTTATATTTGCTCGCAGAGAACAAATTTGTTACAGATTGATAAGATTTTTAGAGGAAGTGAATCTTCGAATTTCTAGACTGCACAATGAATTTTTTATTTCAATTTGTCAAAAAAAATAATTTTCGGTTGTTACAGTTAGTTTAACTAAAATGCATTTTTGAGCTTTAAAATGGACTTATGTTGGTAACAAAAATTTTAACTAATCTGAGCTTAAATTTAAAAACTTACTTTGTAAGAAAGTATACAACTTTTACTACTTTCTAGTGCTCGCCATTCAATATGTACCAAAGATTCAAAACTAGCAAAATGCTTTGAATTCTCTAAATAGTCGTTTTGCTTCTTATTGGTATGGAATATCAAACATGACTGTATCCTTTCTGGGAAAAACTGCATGGAATAAAACTGTATTAGTACTGTCAGCTGGTAAGTATGTTATCTTCTTGTATAAACTACGACTTATAAACTTATTTAAAAAGTTCCTGAAATTTTGCAAATTATTAATTGAATTAAAAATTTTATAAATTGTTTTATGAATCCTGAAAAAATTGTTTGAATAAAATTTACTTTATGCAGTTATTTTATTTGCAAAATGATTCATTTTCTATTCAAAATAATCAGCATGTAAAATTTCATGTAATGCACAATACTAAATAAATATAAGTCGTTACAAAGTTTGTATTTCTTGATTATCTTATCTATCAGTGTTAAGAACAGCTTATCACGCGGTAATAATATAAACGAAGAAACATACAATTGGGGCATTATCAGAGAATGTTTGTCGTTGATGCGAGCAAGCTTCTACTGATAATGTGATAGGCTTTTCTGGTGATATTAAGTGAAATGCTGTGAGATACTGTATTGCAGAAAACCATGCCAATATTAAATAATTGTTGCACATTGTTATCAAAACAAAACAAATCACGTGGTTTAACTTTTTGCAAGTATCACGCAAGATTGCATTGTAAACGGTTCAGTATGATATCTGTGAAAAAATTACAAAATATTTATCAATTATTTAATATTTCAGAGAGGAAAATAATTTGAAAGGAATAAAAAAGATTAAATAAAGATCACATATTTACGAATAATTTTTAACTTAAAGTTATAAAAACTAATACTGAAAAAAGTAGTGATCATTAACAGTTTGAATAGTTACTTTCCGATTATTAATCAAAATATGTTTTTAAATTTTTTAAATTGTAATGAAAGTGAAGATTAATAATTTGCAACGTTTTCACGAGTAATCCTTCGTTTGCATAAGCGTTTTTTCTGAGATGCAAATTGTTTTAAGCAAAAATGTTGAGAAAGTGTTGTGCAAGGCGATAAAACGATTATCTGAAATATAACACTATTATACTTTTTTCAAGGAAAACTGACTGAACGAAAAAGTTGGATATTATAAAACTTTAAAAGTTGCTTTAGAAATGATAACTTAAATTAAGTATTCTCAAAAAATTTTAATTAGAAGTTCACGCAGATTTTTTAATACTATTTGTCGTTGCTTTAAAATCAAAAAAATGGTTTGTAGCAAATTGAATTTAACTGATTAAATATTGAAAAGTATATTAATTAATGAAACAAATTAGCACGTAATGCATTAATGTGCTGAATATTTAAACAATTAAAAATTCAAAAGTATGAGTGGTCAATTGGAAGAAAAATTATTTGTACAACAAAGCCATCCATCAATTTTTAATAATATTGTTAGAAAAAAGATAGTATTTACTTCAAAAGGTCTGAAAAGTAATAACTTAGGATGAGAATTAGGAGTTAAAAAGAATTAAGATTAAGAGCGAGAAAACAAACTCAATTCTTGAAATCTGCTAAGACAAGTAAAATAAGCCTGATTCGAGGATCTAAATCTATCATATCCCAGGGGTACGCTAGTTTAGCGTTCTGCTTTACTGCTTGATGACATGGTTCAAAGCAAAACTCTCCTCAATTTTTCAAGCTACTTTTTGTGATAACTTTTTAGGATTCAGTGTTTTCCAAAATGTCTCTCCCATCAACAATACCAATTATTCGCTTTAATATTTAATCTACAGAAATTCAGCAATTATAAGTTGATGTATATTCAATTACCGGAACGCTTTTTCACGTTACTCAGAATGACTCGGGCAAATAATTAAGTGTTCACTTACTAAGGAAATTTTTTGCAACCGTCAGATTTACTTAGTCAAAACAATTCTTTACTAAATTTTCAGTAATTTGCAATAATTGGAAGCAGTTTTCTGCAAAATAACATAAAAGTTCACTTAAATGCAAACAAATTTTTTGAAAAGTACTCGTTTTATTTTCACTTTAATTCATATAGTAACTTATGTAAACAGATAACTACTTACTCGTAACGCAAGTTATGTATAATTACTTAAGCTAGCATGGATGGCCTAACTTTCCATCATAATCAAGTATAAACGATTGCAACGTGTATTGAATATTGCCTACATTTTGAACTTTTTTGTTCTAAATTAAGATACTTTTTGATTTTTGAAAGGATTGAAATGATAATTGTAACTGTAACTGTAAGGACGCAGCACTAAAGAATGACCTAAAGGAGTGATTTTTAGGTTTTGAAAATAAGCAATTACTTATAAGAATCTGAATCCAAAATTTAAGAAAAAAGTAATATTGAGTGGAATGAAGTCTCAGAAAATTTGACCTCAGAGTAATAATTAACTTTAGGAATTTACGAAAATAATTGCTAGTGTTTTATTAAAGATAGAAATATTAATAAATACTAATTAATATCAACGACAAAACAAGCTAAAAACTTTAGTGAGTGATGAGAAGAGAATAAGAAAAGTACCAAAAAGTGATATTAGCTATCTAATATTCTTCTGTGATAGCTTTAATGGCGGGGAAGGATCAGAAATACACCACAAAAAACAAATTACTACTTAATTATGCTAAAACCTGAATGGCTTTTTGGGCAAATAACAATGCGAAAATGTAAAAGTGCTTTTGAGAGAGCAAATAAAATTTATGGACATTATTAATGCTAATCAACAAAGGATAAGATTACGAATATATCTTTTCGGTTCCGAAAATGAAGAAAAACTACAGACTAATAATTTGATGTAGTATTTACCTACCGAAAATACTGAGAAAAAATTAAATAATTAAGCTTTTCATTAATCCATTCAACAATTAATTTGCTAAAATTGATTAATAATTGCAAAAAGTCCAATTAATCCTTGAGATAAAGATCCTTGGTATGCTTGGGATTGTCACAATTATACAGTAATATCAGTAGCATTTTTTGACACTATGAAATTACTGAAAAAGCACCTTTTCTTCTTGCTTTAGATTAAATACTCCATCAGTTTTTTGTTATTTTGTCGAACTCAAAGAAGGTCAGTTTTCGGTGTGTTCGTCTTCTTGTTCTAAAGCTCGACTTGAAAGTTAAAATTTAAAAAAACGAAAGGTGAAAAAACTAATAATTAATAGCGATAAGTATTGATAAACTTCCTGAGTGTTTATTCAAGTAATTACTAACATTTAAAAAAGCAATTAAAAGTTTGACTTTAATTACAAATACATTTTTAATATGTCATAGTGCATTTGTGCCATCAAAAGTGTGCTTTTAATAATTTATAGACAAAATTTATAAAATATTAGGCTTAGTGACTAGTCGTATCACACTTTTGAGATGAAATACTTACTGCTTAATATAATTTATATTTCGAAAAACATTTTTTATCTAAAATTTATGTTGTATCATATATAATGTACTGGATGCAGCCGATTACAACTTCGGAAAATATTATTAATGAGTAATCCACGCAAGAAGTATTCTTGCCTGTACAAAATGGAATGAAACGCGAGTTTTCATACAGATGCCAAAAAAAATTGCGCAATAGAAGTCATGTGGAGTGAATTATAACCGTTTTCCACAAAGTTTACAGTAAATTGTCAGATTTGTGTCTTTCAGGTTTTTAAGTTCTGAGGTCATTTTAAATTAGTACTACTTGCGAGGTTAAACAAGTAAGCAGCAATTTACAATGAGATCAGACATTTTGACTTCTTTTTAACATTAATTTGATATTTTACTTTCGTCTCAGCATTCAGAAGATCCTTCATCATTTCTTATTAGACGGTTTTGGTAGAAAGTTGTGAAAAACAAGTAAATGAGTTGTTTTATTTGTTATTTTCAGTTTTTTCTACCATGGACGACACATCCTTGGCTAGTAAACCTCATTACCAGATATCATTTTATTGCAATAATGAAAAGTGAGTATTTTTATCTTAATCATATTATTTTATTTTATTTTAAGTACGTAATGATTTTACTGTAACTTAGTTTCTGATTGTGCAATCATGGACTTGTGTCATAATTATTATTGAATCTCATGTGAAATATTTGGATCAGAGTCTAATGGAAATTGCAAAATTTAAGTGTGTGTTTGTAATGTATATGTCCAATTTTTTGTACTTCATATTTATATTTTAGTTATCGGCATATTCCTGGTTATACCCTGTCTGTACCGACTGATATCACGGTGAATAAATTGAATGCACTGGCAAATAAAACTTTGAACGACAACTCTGGTTGGTCTTTAATTATCTTGAAACCATTAATTTTTTTCAGTTTTGAGTTTTGTCACTTTTATTATTATTTTATTCTGGCAAATACTGACAATGAATTCGCTTTTTGTGACAAAATAATAATAGATCAAAGTTGGTTCTATTTGTTAGGCTGTTCGCTAATAGTAAGCCAGTGAAATCTGCCTAAATTCTTAATTATACCCAAGAAACAAGATTTTATCTTCATAAGTGTTAATGCTTATGCATTTATCTATTTATACAGATAAAAAATCTCAGTCAGTTGATTTCGATTTTCTCATATCAAATACCATATTACGAACATCTCTAGAAGAATTTGTTCAGGAAAATCATGTACCTGTGGTAAGCCTTTGTCTTTATTAAGGCGTTTTTTATTTTATCATATGTATTCGTGAATGGGATAGTCACTTCTTTTATATCTTAAACAAATATGTCTTTAAGTATTTGCATGTGCAACAGTCATTCTTTCTGTAGTCAAAGATTTTGACATGCTTGATATTTTAGGTGGCTGTGTGATCGAATTTATTGACTTGGAAAACCAAATGAAAATCATTCTTAAAAATCATTTGCAGGAAACAGTAATTAAAATAGAATGTCTTGTGCAAGAGCCTTCTCCAAAACCTGGTTTTGATGTCACTCTTCCAGATTGGGTTGGAGCAGTAAGATGCAGTAACGACTTGTAAGTAGATCATACAGTGAAAGTGTCCCTTGTTTTCTTAGAGAAATAACATTAATGTTTCTTTTCCGGAAGCAGTAATAAGGGTGCGAATAAGTACTAACTTATTACTATGTTCGAGTTAACATTGATGTTAAGTATTTTTCTATAGTTCATTTCTTTTCAGCATCGCCTCTACTACTTACAGTGGTGAACTGTCTTTATGGAGCTCATCCGGAAAGAAACTAGCATCATCAACTTTGCATGAAGAAGCTGTAAAATGCATGGCAATTCTACCCGATCAAATAGGTCTTTGAATGCTTTTTAAGTTTTGGATGATTCCTGTTCTGAAGTTGTCATATACTGACTAGTTTTCTGCAGACTTTGAAAATTGCTTCTTAAAAACCTTGAAAACGTTTACTGGGTTTTTAAGATTTTCAAAAAGTATCTTCTAATTTTTGCAATGTTTATACTTTTTTTTTTCAGGGAATCGAATTGTCACAGGCGGACATGATCAAGTTTTGATATTGAGTGATATAGAAATAAATGATTCAAAATATGATATCAAACCTTCTTGTATACTTCGTGGTCATGAAAGGAGTGTAGAATCAGTGGCTGTAAATATCGATAGCACTAGATTAGTTTCAAGTGGTTTTGATAAGATGTTGAAAGTATGGAATACTGATAAAGGTTATGTAATTTTTATTGCTGTCGAGATTTTGAAGTATCTAGATTTTGATAAAGTCTTTTTTTTTCAAAATTTGCCAAATAAATTAGTGTTATGTTAAATCTTCAACGAGCTGAATTTTTCTCTCCCATTATTCACTATTCAAGAATCTGAACTTATACAGATGATACCAGTACTGTTTTCGAAAAACAAGATAGCTTGAAAGTGAAGAAGAAAAAAGTCGATGTTATCACTAAGGTATATCCTGCATCTTCCTTACACATTTATATAATCTAACTTTAAGTTTTTTAGATATATACTACATGATAAGGAAATGAACAGACTAAGTTTTTTAGATATATACTACATGATAAGGAAATGAACAGATTTTCTTTCCCTTTATTTTATTCTTTCATCCATTGTTTATAGATTCCTATGGTCACTTTAGCTGGTCATAAAGATGCTGTTGTCAGTATTGTTTGGTCTCCTAATTCTGCAAAAGAAGTGTTAACAGCGTCTTGGGACCATACCATATCTATTTGGGATTTGGAATTAGCTGGTATTTTGAGATACTTTTAACAAAATAATCGTGTGAAAATTTTCTTCTATTGTTAAATTTTTGTAGTTTCACGATGAGGAGTGTGCCATTGAACACTTCTTTTACATTTTTAGGTCAGTTGAGTACCTTGACAGCCAAAAAAGCTTTCACCAGTATGTCGGTTTCCTCTACAAGTAGTATGCTTATAACTGGATCAGTGGACCCCATTGTGAGACTGTGGGATCCAAGAAGTCATGGTACTGGTATAGTGTTATTGTTGTTGTGTTCATATTAACTTATTAAACAATTGCTGATTAGAAATTTAAACCGTGAGATTTAAAAATATTCATTTACTGAATGAATTTATGTTTTCTTGTAAGTTTTAGAAGGAACGTTAGTGAAGCAATCATTTATTGGTCATACCGGTTGGATTTCATCACTTTGCTTTAGTAAAACAAAAGAGAATCTTTTTATTTCTGCTAGTTTCGACAAAACAGTTAAAATGTGGGATATTAGGCAAGTATTTTAGATTCGCAAATGTCAGTACGTAAAAAATTTGTATATTATTTTTTAATTATAAATTTCTTCAAAAGAAATGTATTTTCCAATATTAATTTTTATTTTACTTTGCATGCTTCATTATTCTTAATCCTACTGAATAGATTTTTCAATGAGATCAAATGTACTGTCACTTAGAATCATGAAGTAAAACTGATTAATTTTTTATAATCTTCGTCCAGGGAAAAGAGTTTTAACCAGTTACAGGAGTAGCAAAACTGCGTTGTATGATCTTGTGGGCCACAGTGATCGTATATTGTGCTGTGACTGGTCAATCAGTGAACTGATTGTAAGTGGTAGTGTGGACTGTACAATGAAAACTTATTACAGGAATACGTGTTAAATCTTCATTTGTTTATATGTCCAGGAAATAGCTAAGTTTCAGCTTGCAAAATTATGCAATGTAGCACACAAAAAAAATGGTTATCGAAAGTGTGGTGATGTAGTTGTAAAAACTTTTTCGAAAAGAAAAGTTCTGACAACTTGTGAGGTGAAAAAAAGTTGTCAGGGAAATAACTAATTTTGAAAGTATGTGTTTCAATTGTTGATTTCTTACAAGATGGTGTTAATAATGTCATTACATGCTCACATCTGTTGTTTATCGTGTCATACGCATTGTTATACTTCAAATAAAATGTACGAAAAATATTTTTGCCATGTTCCAAGCTTGACACTCTTGCTCATATCTTTACCAAACCATTACTGATTTTTAGACATATTTGACCAAAATTTTTGCTTAGTAGTTTTAGTAACCAGAAGATTATGTGCGTCATTTTGCTTTTAATCGTGTTAGTATTCTGAGATCTGCTTTCAGGTTGCTAAATATATATAAATTCAACAGCAGCGATGGGTAAAGGCTTCCAAAATTTTATGAGCAAGAAGGATTTCCATCCTAGCGCGTGGTGGAATATCAAAAGGGTTAGTTTCTTAGATTCTAGTATGTAATGTATTCACCTGATTCACATGAATGTGTGAGTTTTAGGTATGGGAGGCACGTCAGAAAGACGAGATGGAGAAGAAACGTCAAGAGGAATTACGTATTGCATATGAACGAGAGCAAGATATTCTTAATAATAAGTAAGATTCTGTTAAAAGCAAAGTTTTTTGGTAAGGTGATAGGGCTAAGTTTATTTTAGAGCTCTTTTGGGTGATGAGAAAGCACGCATGGGTCTTTCATTTATGTATGATGCGCCGCCTGGTATCAACAAAAAAGAAGAGGATAAACCAGAGCCGAAATTCGAATGGCAGAGAAAATATAATGCACCAAGAGAAGAGTATGAATTTTTAATTACATTGCTTAATTTAAAAAAAATTTTTGTTACTGCGCTGATATTTGGCAAAGTTTATTTGCTAAAACTATAAATCTTTAATGTAATCTTTTGCATTCGTAATATATCATTGTAACGAATTACTCTTAGTTATATTAGAAATTGATCTTGCTTCATAAAAATTTGAAAAAATTTTTTTCCACTCCATTGTATGCTCATTTCTACTTGATCCTATCATGCGATGAAATTTTTTCGCTCATAAAATTTTTAACTATTTTTGAATCTCTCGTTGCATATATGGATTTTAAAATTTATAGATTTGTTGAATTACATATGCCCATTTTTGAAGAATTATCATAATTATTTTTGTATCACAAACTTTTTTTTAGTTGGGCTAAGAATAATGATGCCATAACTGATCAACCTTTTGGTATACAAGTCAGAAATGTCCGATGTGTGAAGTGCCATACTTGGGGACATTTAAATACTGACCGTGAATGTCCATTGTACAACATGAGTGGAAACTTTGAAGATCCAGGATGTAAGTTCATTTTTCATTCGATTATTAATTTTTCATTTTCTAAGAAAAATTATAGCTCCCATGACTGCAAAATTTACTAAGTTGGCGTGTTAAATAAAAACTTACTATTTCAAAATGGAGTGATTTGCGAAATTGTTAACTGGGTTGCTAAATAATGAAACTAGGCAGATTTATTTGACTGAGTACTCGACCTGTTCTCTACACATTGAATTTTTATCTATCAGATGCTAACAATCCATCTGACTTGTTCAAGCAGTTGCAAAAGGATCGTGCAGAAAGCGAAGTGGTTAAAAAATCAAAGGTAAAGGAATTAAAAAAATTTGCATTTAATCGTGCTGTCACTACTACTGATGATGAAGAAAAAGAGCAGTGGGAAGAAATGACATATGATCAGTTGGCAGAAAATATGAAAGAAGAGCATGGATTAACTCTGAAAAATAGCGTTTTTCAAAATATGCGTGCTGAAGAAAGTATTGTGGTAAGTTATTTATTTTTTATATGCACTATCTCTTTCATACCGTATATTGCAAAAAGTATTAGTATTTTATTCAGATGGTCTCTTATAAAAATTTGTGATTTAAGATTATACGCTCCATATTTATCCATATAGGTATAAGCATCCTTTTAACTTGCTAGTTTCTGTATTTTTAAGTTTCGGTTTCGTTATTTCTTCGTCAAAATCATATATGAATTTTTGTCTGCATAATCATGTTTGAGTAATTGAGAATATAGCAAACATAAACCGAGATTTTATTTTTCTACATTTAAGAATACTATTTTTAATTACAAAGCACTGTAGAATATGGGTGCAACAACAACGGCTTCAAATTCAGAGCAAGATAAAATGATTGCGTTTTTCAATACTCTCAGTGACAAAGAAAAACGTAAACTGACCAAGTAAGTTTTGGGAATTTTTCCTGATCACTGTGCTTATTGCAACTTTTTTTTGTATAATATCAGCTGTTAGTGATTTTTAACATTAAAAAATAACCAAATTTGTTCTTGCTACGCGAAAATTTAATTTGAAGGGACTTACAAAAAGATTTTAAAGGTTTTTTGCATTTGCACGCAAAAACGTATTCAAGTGAATACATTAGTTGGATCATTTACTCGATTATTTCTAGAAAATTACTTTCGGCTACAAGTAATAAACGTGAAGAAAGAAAGAAGAAGAAGAAGAAGCATAAAAAGGAACGAGTGAAGAAATTGAAGTCTGAGGAAAATGAAAGAAAGAGATCTGGAAAAAGTGATAGAAAGAAGCGCTTGATTTGTTGGTTTTATTGCAAACATGTTTATGCAATTTAATTGTTGCGCCTTTGTTTTCTTCATTTAGCAATGTTTTTTTCTAGGTTTTTTGAGTAATTTGTTTTTCTGCAATATTTTTGACCATTATTCATTTTATGACTCAAGATTAGTTTCACAAAAATTTTTTTAATTCCATTATTTGTTGTTCAAGTTTAAAATTTTCGAAAAATATTAGTCTAGACTTTATTTTCAAATTAAGAATGCCTATGAATTCTAGGAAATTTTCAGCTTCAAAAATTCAAAGTGATGAAGAGTTGAGAAAAGTTGACGAACAGAGAAAGAAAGATTTTAGAAGTCATTCAAACAAAGAAAAAAGTGATGGAAATTGGAAAAAAAATGGGACCAAGCGATCAAATTCTATGTCATCAGAATCAGAGTGCAGTATGAAAAGGTCAAGACGTAGATCTCATTTATCTTCGCATCGTATGAGTCATTTTACTCAAGATTGGTTAGTTTGCCTGTTCTTTTTAGCACGCTTTGTAAATGTTTGGAAATTGGTAGCACTTTGGTTGATAATAAAAATAGTTGAGTGTGAAATTTTTAAAAATTTCAATTTGTTTTTACTAGGAAAAGCATTTACGGCGAAGTTTCGTTTTTTATATAAATCAAACTTCACTAGGTTATTATTTGGTGATTGCCAATATGAATATATGTTTTTACCTAGCTTTACATAGTTAGCTAGTTATTAGCATTCTTGAATTAATTCAATTAATTTAAAAATAATGAAATTTATATGTTATGGGATAAAACATTTTAGGTCTGTTTCCCTCAAAAATTCTCACTCAAGGCGATGAAGGAGCTGATTTCTGTAATTATTTTCACTTCTGGTGTAACTCTTCTATTGAATGCTGCAGTTTTTGGTAATTAAAATATTGTGATTGTCTTTTGATTGCCATTGAAAACCTCTTCAAGTAACATAAGATCGTTGTTTCTTAACACACCTAAAAGTTTAATAATTATTTTTGTGCTCATATGTTTCTAATAATTATTGTTTAGCTCTTTATTGTGATTTGAAAAAATTAGAAAATTGGAGACTAAGTTCACCTTTTTTTAATTGATTGATTTTCATTGTGGTGCAACAATGTACAGATGATGGTATTGATGTTTTTTTTCATTGTATATTGCATTGAAATGAATATTTTTTTTGGTGTGATATCGAAAGAAAACACCATACCAGGTAGTTGGAATGAAAATTTGAAGTTAAATAATTGAGAGGCATTTGTGTGTTAAGTTCATCTTGCTGCTGTTATTCGTTTTCAATTGCACTACTTGGTGAAAAAGACAATTGAAAAAGGAAGATGGAACGAAGTTTCGTGCACCACAAAGTACTTTGTTCAGTGAAGCAAATAACATGTGGACTTGAATAGGAAGGAAAGATGAACATCACGTCGATTTAATTTGTAAGTGTAAGGCTTATATATGGAAGCAGGGAAATTACCTTAATTGCAAATCAAAGAAAGTAGATTGGTTAATATGAGTTCAGGAAATGGTAGTTCCACTCTAATGGCTACAATAGGCATCATGCATTAAATTTGCAACGTAGTCCTCCAAGATGAATTGCCAAAAAAAATCGAAAACAGTATTGACCCATCAGAATACTTTTCGTGTTGAAGCTAGACTGAATGGATTAGACTGCTTTTCTTGAATGCATAGAACCAGCAAATATGGGTATTCTGAAACTCACAGTCATTTGGAAATCCTAAGGGCAATATCTTTTAATTAATAGGATTTTAAAAAAATAATAATTTTAAGCAATTTTAAAATATTTTCTATGTGCAATGAATTCAAATTATACAATCTTATTTTGAAAATTATACAGTGTAATTATAATTTTATCTTATTAACTTTGAAAATGAGTTTATTTCTCGCTCGTTTATTATGCTAGGCCTCTATAGGGATTACAAGTATAAACTTAAGAGATTTCAGAAGATTTAACACTTTCATAGAGGAAGAAGCATTCATACATGCTAAAGAAAAGAGATAACAGATCGCTGCTTATCTGGCCAGTTTATAAAAGAAGACTTAGCCATGATTTGGCTTAGTAAGCAAAGCTTAACTTAGGCCTAGTAAGCTTTGCTAAACTAAATCAGGCACCAATTCAACATCTTCCTTTTTCTTTGTCAATTCTTCTTCTTTTTCACTCATTACATGAGCAAGCATATAGCTACTATTTACAAGCTTGCAAATTTTATTGCAATATATAATAAATGCTTGTAGCATCAATAATCTCGAAATTTTACTGATTTTCAATCTAATATTAATTGAGGGAATGGTTGAAGGTGGCATAATCCTTGTAAAATACTTACTTTTTCTTGCAAACTTCATTTTATGGGTAAGTCATTTAATCATCTCTGAACTCACTTTATTTGCGTTGATTTTATTCATTTTATTATCGCAAAATGTTCCATACTATTTTACAATCATAAAGTTAAATTGCATTTCAAGTTAATTCTACTTTAAAAATTTTATATATTTACTTGAAACTGTTAAGTAACTGAATGATAGAAAACAGTATCTCACAGCTATTGCTTCTCAGCAGAGTCATATGATAGCTTCTGCTATAAAACAGTGTTGCAATAACAAAATCTCCATTAATCAGTAATTAATTAATCATTTTTTTCTTTCAGTAGAACAACTTAAGCAAATTTTTATAGTTATTAAACTCCTTAGCATGTTATTTAACGGAATTAGATAGCTATGATGCTATTAAAAACTGTTGCACATTCAATTTAAACGATCATTCAGCTTTATTTAATGCGCATAATAGAATTAACTATAAGCAAGAATCAAATTATGTAAAAATTCAGGAATGAATGAAATGTGTATCCAAAAATAGCTTGTTTGTGATATTTGTGAATGCTAACTATGATCATTTATGCTGGAAACAATAATATATTAAAATACTTGTTAAAATTCAACTGGGAGATAAAAATATAATCAAATGGAATGCATATATGATTTGCCAGATATAAATGACCAGCAGGAAAAAATGGACATTTTAAATAGTTTAGAAAATAATGAAGTGGCAGTATTTGGTATAAAATCTCTCAAAAGGCAATACTGAAATATGCAAGAAGAAAGCTCAGAAGATTTAAATTGACTTAAGATTGTTTGCAAAAACTTGTCAAAAGAGCATTTTTTAAAATGTAACTTTGCACTTGCCTAATATATCCAACGCATGTTGATAAAATAACACTAAATTGCAGGCAGTTCTATTATTCGTAATGTCATTCAAAAGAAAAACAATGCAGACTGCTAATTTTATGGATAATAAATAACAATCACTAACTTATCTTCTAACTAAATACCAACATTAGCAGAGTTTATTTAAGTAATTTGTATAAATCTAAGTAATACAATCTAATCTTATATCCTTTTAAATTTAAATATTATATTCTTTGAATTTTATATAGAATAATATATCGTATGAATATTTCATATTTGTAATTTAGTTTAAACCACTGTCAACAATATTAGATCCCAATAGATATTAAGTAACTATTGAAAGGGATTATTATATGCTTGATTAATAGAGATCAAAACTATCAAGATAAAACATACAAAAGTTCACATGCAATAATCAAAAAATTAAAAAATATTTCAGGTAGGTGGTTTAGGATTGGTAATTGCCGGTGCAGTACTGCAATTAAAGTATACCGGTATACTAGACATATTGGGAGATGAACGATTAGCAACGCCAATGCTGTTATTAGCTACCGGTGCATTATGTTCCCTTCTGGGATTTCTCGGATGTTGCGGAGCAATACGGGAAAACTATTGCTTAACAGTTAGCTTTGCAGTTTTACTCTCTCTCATACTAATAGTGGAAACAGCTGCAGCTATTGCTGCATATGCTTTGCAAGAACCACTTCAAGTAAGTAAACTAGAATTTTTTTGTTTAAAAAAATTGTCAGAAAATTAATCTATTCCTGCTTGAAATGATAACTTTCCATACTAAATCAACAGATATCAAAAATTTACTTTAAATGCAAATATAACTTACAAATATTTTGGAGCACAAACTTTTAGGCTTCTTTATCACACCAATTAACGTTGGGTTTACAAAGGTACAATCGTTCCGCAGGTGTTCGCATTGCATGGAATCAGATTCAGAGAGAATTCGCTTGTTGTGGAGTACACAATTATACCGACTGGCATGTTCCACCAGATTCATGCTGTATTCAAGATTCACTTGACTGTGCTAAAAATGAGCAAAATTTGCAACTATCTGGTAATATACACAGTCATCTCTAAGCATTAATTAATATACTCACAATGACGGAATTATATTTACAGTTAATAAAAAATAATATTTTTGATTTTAATGATTTATTAACTGCTATTAGTTTACAAATGCTGCAAGAATACCAAAAAGATTAATCTTTGCAAATCAGTACAAGCAATTTAATATAATAAGTAAATAAGTATTTTGAACTCTTTTGATATGACCTACCGTTTGATATGATCTATATTAGCAAAATACAAGTCCACTATAGCACAGTTTAACTTCACTATTACTACACAGAACTGAAAGATAATATTGGAACAAAATATTGAATTTTACAAACTGACTAAGCAGAAGAAAGTTTAACACTTCATTCATGCCCACAATGTAGACAAATGTGAATTGCGCTTCAAATCAAAATAAATAAGGTCTGATGGTTTGAGTCATAAAATTTGTAATACCACGGAATTGTATTGAGCTGCTTAAATACAAATCGCATGCTAATAACAGATTTCAAGTCAATCTTTGCATCATTATGTATTACTTAGTTAGTATGTTGATTAATTGTAGGTTGCATGGAACGTTTAGAACATTGGCTGATTCTGAATGCAGCTATGGTTGGAGGAGTCAGTGCAACCGTTGGCTCAATGCAAGTGATTGGAGTATGCTTTGCTTGTTGTTTATCAAAATCTATTCTGAAGGACTTTCATGATTTTTATTATTGAAAATTATGACTATTAGCTTACTTTCTGAGCAATTTTTGCCACTCTAAACAATCAGAAAAATTCAGACATAGCGAACTTACTGACAATGCACCTTGCAAAAATAACACCTCTTAATGCCATTATTTATTTATATTCTGCAAACAAAAGTTAAACTACAAATTAATTCATATCCATTCTGTGATGTATCTGCATATATGGAATTTCTTGTATCGACAATACGACAGCAAACTAAAACTTTAAGTTAAACCAATTAAAAAAGTGTTTCATTTTTAGTATGATAATGCATGTCTTGGCTACCTAAGTGGTCACTGTCCACTAAATTATGAATATAAGAATGCAAGCTAAATTTTGATGACTTATTTCACAGCTTTGATTAATGGCATGCAAATAACTTTATAACTAATAAATACAATTTGAGCTTTCATATCTTTGTGAGACACAAAAAACAAAAAATTTTTCATTTCATTTAAATTTTTTTTCTTTTTTTGCAAATGTATATCATGTTTTGCAAGCACAATAATAAAGTGAAGCGAAATTACTGTACAAAGCACAAATACAACGATGAACAACAATTCTGAGAAAAAAAAGCAAGTAATTTAGATGAAACAGAAGGAATAAAGAATACAACACCCTGCTTGATATTTTGGAAGATAAACAAACATTCATAATATA